TCCACTCTATTGCCCATTCCAAATACCCTCTCACATATCCAACCCACCCACCAACTATACCAACCACCTCCACTCTATTGCCCATTCCAAATACCCTCTCACATATCCAACCCACCCACCAACTATACCAACCACCTCCACTCTATTGCCCATTCCAAATACCCTCTCACATATCCAACCCACCCACCAACTATACCAACCACCTCCACTCTATTGCCCATTCCAAATACCCTCTCACATATCCAACCCACCCACCAACTATACCAACCACCTCCACTCTATTGCCCATTCCAAATACCCTCTCACATATCCAACCCACCCACCAACTATACCAACCACCTCCACTCTATTGCCCATTCCAAATACCCTCTCACATATCCAACCCACCCACCAACTATACCAACCACCTCCACTCTATTGCCCATTCCAAATACCCTCTCACATATCCAACCCACCCACCAACTATACCAACCACCTCCACTCTATTGCCCATTCCAAATACCCTCTCACATATCCAACCATGGGTTAGACATTGCCATCTCAAATCTTACCCTCATTTCCCAAACCTATGCGCGTCTAACCCCCTTACACTGCGTTTAATTTATAGAAATTAAATTAGTCTAACATTTTTGGTTTCCTATGAGCGACCCTCAAATTATTGCACCCTTGGTGTGCTCCTAATACAACTGTGGCCGATGTGTTCTTGTGTTTTCTGCACAGTCTCCACGGAAAAAACCCATAAATAAGACACATCAAACATAGGGGCGTTACAAGATTTGGTGTCACCCCCAGTGCAGTTATTGTTGTTGTTCGTCCGTCGAAGATCGACTAGGACCATCGAGTCGTCCGGTTTTTGGATGACTGATGACTTGCGCGGGTGACTTTTGTTTAAAGTGAGGAAGAGTTGCGCGGCGTCAACCTCACTCTCTCGTCCGGGCCCACCATGTCCGGTGGTAAGACTCTACGTCAAGACGACCAGGGATGCGTACGGATGCCAGGAGTTGTCGGATTGTTTCATTGTATACACCTTACGGGGACTCCACCTCCGGGTTTGAATTCAGAGTTTCCTTTCTCTTAGATGAGTTGCCGACCAAGGTTAACGAGTCCCATCCACCCGGGGTGCTGGTGATGTTTTTGATCATTCGGCCACCCAGTGCAGTAAACTAATGATGTCAACCCCTTTCCAGACCCTCCCCCCTCCCTCGTTGCACCGAGTGATTCTTAACTAGATCCAGAACCGCTTATAGTATGTTTATAAATTAAGTCATGCGAATCAACCAGCGTCCTCTCCCAGATTTACCAAGCTATAAATGATCACTGATTTGGTCAATATTTGTCACAGAAGGAGTATCATTGGTGACTCATATCTAAGCTAAAATCTTTAGACGTCTTGTGTTTAAAGTTTAAATCGTTTGAATTGTAAAAGTTTTGCCTTGTTTTAAATGTGTATTTATTTATGAGCTGAAAATGAACCCGACAACCAAAAAAAAACAACAAAGAAACCTCGGATTTTATTCTAAGCCCCAGACAAGACAAGTCGTTCATTTAAAAAAAAAGAAAATGTCTGATTTTGAAGAAAATATGCTAATCCTAAATATATATATATATTTTTACATCAGCAAAAAAGAAAAAAAAAAAAAAAAAAAAAAAAAAAAAAATAAAAAAAAAAAAAAAAAGAAAACAAAAAATATACATAAAAAAAAAAAAAAAAAAAAAACAACAACAACAACGAATAAAACAAAAAAAATTCTGTACACTAAAATTATTCATTAAAAAAGAAATTGATTCAAACTAAAAAAGGGTTAAGAAATGCTGGAATTAAGCCAACGACATGTAGCCCTATACATTTACTATAGGACAAAAAGAAATCTGCAGCAAAGCAAACTACGTGTATAAATTATATACTATGGATTGGGTTAATCTTATTTTTGTTTTATTTGCACTAACTTATTTAGTGCACAATTGCCGTGGCGGTGTTCGGTTATCCGATTTTTTTTCTATCCGTAACACCCCCCTCCCCCCTTTTTTTTTCTTCCTATCCCTCTTCGTGACCTTATTAGTTTGAAAAATCGAAACTCTGTTTATTATTTTTTTTATTAAAGCTAGTGCTATTCTATTAAAGTGGATCAGATTGCGCAAACTTTGGTGTGATTTATAGGCATGTCTGAATATCTTGTATCAATGAGCCAATACTGCCAAAAGGAAAATGTTCAAGTGCAACAACTTCAGGTCGAGGTTGCGTGGACACACTACAAGTCTCAATTCTATCGCTGTTTGAAACCTTAATTTTTGAGGGGACTTAGTGCAGCAGTTCATATTGATTATTTTGACATTCGTGCTCTCTACGTGTAGAAGTGCATATTTTGACGGGTCGGGGTACATTCGTAGCGGTTCTCACGTGTTTCAGGGACTGACGCCACAGGGCTCCCTTAGTCACGCCCACATAGGGTTTAAGTTTAGGGCGAGGTGCTAACGTTGGGGAAAAACTTTCACCTTACCGAGTCGCATCGGGTCTTCCGACCCCCCTAGATATTGAAAGACAACACACAACATTACTCAACATGTGGGACCTTCTGATCGTTTTAAAGGCAACACGCAAATTTACTCAATATGTTCTGATAGTTTTTTAAAATTTTATTTTAAAAACATCCGACAAATCATGTTTACACATAGACTTTTACAAAAAAAATTGTCAAAACGGGAAAACAAGAATTGTCAACGATACTATTTTGGTTATGTAAAGCTTGTAGTACTTATTATAGTAAAAATATTACAAAATGGGTTGGGGGTAGGGGATTATCTCATTCATTCCTTACATTGTTCAAACCAATTCATTCTTTAAAAAAAATACAATTAAAAAAACAAAAAAACCAGTGGACGGTAACAGAATCCTAAGGTTATTAAAAACAAAGGATACTCATTTACTCACTCAGGATATTGTTTCAACTGTTTGATGAATATTTCTTTATATGTGGCAGGGTTTGGCAAGCTTTTCTTTATATTATGTGACAGGGTTTGACAAGCTTTTCTTTATGTGTGGCAGTTCACTGACAGGGTTTGGCAAGCTTTTCTTTATATGGGACAGGGTTTGGCAAGCTTTTCTTTATATGTGACAGGGTTGGGCAAGCTTTTCTTTATATGTGACAGTTCACTGACAGGGTTTGGCAAGCTTTTCTTTATATGTGACAGGGTTTGGCAAGCTTTTCTTTATATGGGACAGGGTTGGGCAAGCTTTTCTTTATATGTGACAGTTCACTGACAGGGTTTGGCAAGCTTTTCTTTATATGTGACAGGGTTTGGCAAGCTTTTCTTTATATATGACAGGGCTTGGCAAGCTTTTCTTTATATGGGACAGGGTTTGGCAAGCTTTTCTTAATATGTGACAGGGTTGGGCAAGTTTTCTTTATATGTGACAGGGTTTGACAAGCTTTTCTTTATATGTGACAGGGTTTGGCAAGCTTTTTTTTATATGTGACAGTTCACTGACAGGGTTTGGCAAGCTTTTCTTTATCTGCAACAGGGTTTGACAAGGTTTTCTATATATGTGACAGGGTTTGACAAGCTTTTCTTTATATGTGACAGGGTTTGGCAAGCTTTTCTTTATATGTGACAGGGTTTGGCAAGCTTTTCTTTATCTGCAACAGGGTTTGGCTAGCTATCGCCAGTGAATATCACCTTTTATAATTGCAACAAAAACAGACTGATAGAAAATTGTTGCTTATGTTCTGCTTTTTGGGAGGTACCGGTATTGGCAAAGCTCTAGTACAGGGGACCTCAAGCTTTGTAAAGAAGGGCCTGATCAGTGTCCATCAGACATGGTCGGGGGCCGGACTGCACACTGCACGCATTTCACTTGCATAGAACAAGAAAAAAAAACAAGAAGACAAAAAAATAATACTAACATAAATGAATAGCATTTCAAAGAGAGGCACCCTGCTCTTGTAGTTTACAGGTACTCAGAATGCATTTCTTGGTCATTGAGCTTTCATGACAAACAATGCCACGGGTAACGAAGTGATAACAGTAAAAATATCACCAGTGATCTGCTACACATGTCAATCAAAATTCAACAAGTACATTATTGTTCACAAATCTTCAAGCAATTTGAATTTCACTTTCATTCATTATATGTACATATATTGGGGTTCATGTTTAATAAGGCATCCTTTGTAGGATAAAAGTGTATTCAATATATCTGGATGTAAGGAGACATATATAATATTGCTTAATTTAATGTACCTTTACAAGAATTATGGATAATTTAATTATTTCAACCTTCCAAATTGAAACTAACCATGCAATAATTGTTAACAAGAAAGTTATACACTCTTAAAAATTCAATAAAAGTTCAAAAGTTTTACCAAAAAATCAAAAAGATCATGGGATGTCATGCAAAGCCGCTAACGAAGTTAGATAGGAAAAGAACACCCAGGGATAAGGCACATTTTATGTTGTAGCTGAGATAACTACAGCCAGCTTTGTTAAAATAAAAGGCAATGAGGAATCACCTATACAGAGCTATCCTTAATTTTAGTTTCTAGTTCTAGTCTTTTTTTGTTTTGTTTGTATCATCTAAGGATTATATTAATCCTCCAGATAGAACACCAAAAGCACATTATATCTTATAATATCTTATATTATTATCTTACAAAATAAAATAGTTAGCACTTGCCTTAACTGCCTGGCAATTATTTTTTCTGTTTCAATAATGCCCTCGAATATATAATTGAAAAAGTAAGGATGATAACCAGTTCTCATGACCACGTCACCTAAAAATTTTTTGCCAAGCCCTAATACGAAAGGAATGATCATTGAAGCATTATAAACATCCCCCCCCCCCTTTCCCGTGTCCTCTGAAATGATACTTGCAAACATATTTCTTCATAAGAATCAGTGATCTTTTGGATGTACTTTCTTTATAGTAAAAATTAAAAATTTTTTGCCCAACCCCAATACGCACGGAATGATCATTGAAGCATTATTAACAACCCCCCCCCCCCTTTCCCGTGTCCTCTGAAATGATACTTGCAAACATATTTCTTCATAAGAATCAGTGATCTTTTGGATGTACTTTCTTTATAGTAAAAATTGTTTAACCGAATGAAATTTTGAAGAATAAATTAAAGACTTTTGTACATTTAAAGACAATCCTGAGTATGTCAATGGTTCAACACATCACTGGGATGGAAAAAAGTTATCAACTGTCATAGAAAATATAAATATTTTCTTTCCAGGCTCATTTAATGCTACATACAACTGAAAGACATTCCATACTGTTTGTTTAGCTGGTGCAAGCCATAATCTCAGCCAACATTAAAAAAACAATTACAAAAAACACAAGTAAAAATGGCTTGTAGTGCAGGGGAACAAAAAAAAAAAAAAAAGTCACCCAAGGCCTAACAGTAATTCAATATATGTTGCTGAGCAACAGGTCTGATAATTGTAATGTCCACCATAGTGCAGGGGAACCAAAGAAAAAAGTCAGCCAAGGCCTAACTGTAATTCAATATATGGTGCTGAGCAACAGGTCTGATAATTGTAATGTCCACCATGCATGTCTGAAGAAGCATCCTAAAACCTCATCAGAAGGTCCACACCTATTCATTATGCTACTGTTCATGATTTCACCTATAAATGGTGTGTAGTTTCTAGACAAAAAGAGGTTCCGCTGAAGGAAACTTCAATCAATTGATATAAACAATGACCACAAATATTTTTATCAAGCAAATATATGATGGAATGAGCACAACTCCATTGTGAGGTATTTTAATAGGAATGAAATATTATTTGGGGTCATAATTTGTAAAGCTTTGATTAAAAACAGTGGTCTAAAAGATAAGAGGGCAGGACACCCATGGATGGAGGTATAAGAGATGGCCATGGGAATAGGTGAGACTAATATTTATAAAAAGAAAGTATCATCAAAATTTTATTTATTTCAAACATTGTTGATTTTGTTGCTTGAAAGAATAAAAGTATGAAGGGTCGAATACGTCAGCCCATACAAAATATATTTCTGTACTCATCATAATAAGTCAGGGTACACAGATTTTATTACAATTAATTAAGTATAGTAAATACAACAAGCCATTTAGAGTTTGACACTAATATAGCAATGTAAATAATTTATTTTCATAGATTAAAATTTTATTCATTATAGAATATTGTGATATGGTAAAATATCTTAAGTTATCCCTAAAAAAAAAAAAATAATAACCCAAAAGGGTTAAACAAAAAATATGTAAAAATATGGATTAGGAATTTCCTTAACCATCATAAAGAAATAAACTAAACATTGATATTAATTTCAACAGGTTACATGTCTTCTATTTTTTCTTAACTTTTTCTTAATTTTTTCTTTATTTGTGATGGTAAAAAATTTTGAGCTAAAAAATATGGTTGATTTTTTCCAACTTTTAGAATTTTAAATGCTATACGATTAATCTACATTTTATTAAATAGAGATAACTTATTCAGTGAATTTAGGGTTTAGAAAGATAAGTTGATTAGGATTGCAATAAAAAATAATTATAAAGTTGACTCTAGTCCTGGTTATATGAAGTTTAATACCCTTTCCATTCTGCTGCCTAGAATTATAATGAGAAAATCACTTAAAAGCCTGTGTATTGAAACAGACATTTTCACACAAATATGGGATCTCCCTATTTTTAGAGGAGATGAACACCAATTTACTCTCCGGTTGTATGTGTCAATTGGTTGCCACAAACAATGAAACACTAATAAAATTGTATGAATATTGATGTGCACAAAAATACAAAAGCCTTAGACATTTACATGGAATTTATAATTATAATTTTTTAAAATTAAAATTCATACATAAAGAAAAAATTAGCAAGATAAGTAAAGGACAGTTTTTTCATGCTTTTCAGTATTTTGATCCCCCATTTAGGGCTGGTAAAGTAATAGAATCCTATTTTAATTAACTTTCATTTAAAACAATAACTTAAAATAGAAACTAGTTTTTTTATGCAACAGATTTTCCATATGTATAAAAATTCTTAAGTTTATCTTGGAAAATTTATGCTGTCATGTTTCAAAGCTTTGAAAGCGGTTTACTGTTACGAAGATGATTAAAGCCTTCTTCAAATTTGGTTCAACCAAAATAACGTTTTACTACTTCTAAAGATTTAAATTTGTTAAATAATTGAGATAAAAATATTATTTTTTTATATAGCAGAAATGTAATGGAACAAACAGTGTCATAAATAGTTACAAGTTAAGGGGAAAAAATGTCAAAGAAAAAAAATGATGATATTTACATTTTATTATTTTATTTTTTTACTTGTATGTTTATTTGTCTACAGAAAAGTGATATTTGACATATAATGATTAAGGACTGAGTTAATAAATATTTACACAGCTTGCTTATTAGCCTTTACTTGTAAAATATCATTGCACATAACAAATACTACTGACACATACAGTTAAGGACAATGTTTGCAAACAGGAGGTCAAGTGGGCCAAGTGTCATTGAAATAAAGTATGAAATAGGTTCTCTCATTTGTCTCCTAAAATAGCAAAATATAGTCTGCTATTATGAAGAGTAAAAATAGGAATGTTGGCAAGTCCTTTTTGACATGTTGAAGATATTTTATGCCAAGTGGATATTTAATAAGCCGGCTTAAATTTATAAACTTAGTACATAGTCTCTCAGTGACAAAAGAAAATGGTTTCGTTTACTGGTGTTGACAGGGCAGTGAACAAACCAACAATCCAATGCCTTATGGTGCACTGAGAGTTTTGGGTGTACTTGTATTGTGATGATCTCCTCCAGATGATTCCCAAGGCTTCGTTTCCACTGTAAAAACCAAAAACCAAACATATAATTCAGAAGAGAAAAAACAAAAAAAAACCCTTCTATTGCTTGGAGAATATATACATATAAGTAGTTCATTTTTACACTCAAACATTTCTTAAATAAATAATATAATTAAAAGTGAAGTTCCATACATAAATAAAAGACAATGTTGAGACAATTTTATAAATAGCCTGAAGTAAAATTCTCTCTAATTTTGTCAAAACATAATAACAAAAATCCTTAGCTATCCAAATTTGCAGAAGCTTGCATATATGCCATGTTAGATTATGGTGCACTTACCCAGAATAACAATGATGATCACAGCAATGATCACAAACACAACTGAGCCCAATATACACATCATCTTGCAATTTTTCCACCACATTTTCTTTTTTAATTGGACTGCGGATCTCTTGAAATGAGAAGAGCTGCTTTCTAGATCCTCTAAGAGAAGATAAAAAATATCAAAAAATAAAAACATTGATAAATTTACCAGCTATTCAGTGATAACTTGCATTAAATGTTACGAAGAAGTGGATATTTTTATAATTATTACAGCAATTTTATATTTCAATCCATTAAAGTGGACTTCGTATTAAAGAATCTTTCAAGTCAAACCGTGGTGTAAATGGAGAAAAAACAACTTTTTAAAAAGCAAATTTTACTATAAAAAAGAAAACCAAAAAAAACAAACATAATACTTATGATCAAATGACACATATAATAATAGTGATTTTTTAACTATAACAATTAAAACTACTAATTATACAAACAAGAAAAAGAAGTCACATAATAGACCTGGCTATTCACATTTACTCATTACCTGATCTGGATTGAAGGGTATCGATTCGTTCACCTCTTTCTAGTACTTTTTCAACATTATCCTTTAATAATGAGGTGACTTCAGTAACTTCATTCTGAAGATGGTCAAGTTGATCGTTACCTCTTCTGGTACTTGCTCTAGCCCTAAGCAAAAAATATTTCATACTTAACCTGATGCATTAAAAATCAAAACAGTCCAACAACTTGACTACATTAGTAAAACAAGCTCAATGGACAATTTTGGTTAAAATACACTTGGGTGCAACATTTTTAATTCATTCAATAAAGACAAGATGCTTTTAATTTATTGATCCAAATAAAAGGAGGTTTCTTTAGATTGCATTGCACATATTGTTTTCAGTCTTGAATATCTCTGTCTGAGTTTTTGTTGTTCCCTAAAACTGGTCACTAGCCAATCATTCAGTGAATCATTGTGTTGTGTGGTTAGAATAGCTATTAAGTTTTTGAGTATATGTTGGCATTTTGAAGGGAGTCTTGGATTTTTGTTAAAAATAGTTTGTTTTCAACTAACTTATGTAAAAAATATCTCTTAATATACGTGCTCTGAGAACGTTTATTTTTCAAAACCACGTTAAAAGCAATATAAGTATAATAGAAATAACAGCCTTTATATTATAATAATATTATTATTATAGATTCAGTATCCTATTTGCCAATAGATAATAAGTAGTCTTAGATTGGGGCAATAATAGTTCCTAGACTGCTTAGCATTTAATTTAAACTGTAAATGTTATGGTGTTGGGAGCCATCCAAAAATGACATCATACTATTTTGGCAAAATTTTGACACCCTCCCTTTATTTGTTATAAATTTGTCACATAATTGATGCAACCTCAAAACACATGCTGTGTAGTGTGTATAAAATGCTAAGGTTTATCAATATCATTATTTTATGACAATTCAATTATGATTATTGAAATATTCATATGGCATCCGTTCATAATGAGGCCTACGTGAAATTATTTTTTAAGACTCTGAATCATCCCTTCATAGTCATAGTCATGTGCTTGCAAATTTGTATCCATTAATGATTCATCCTTTCATTTTGCCCTATCATCAGAGTTATCATTGAATTCATTGTACTGATCACTCTCATACTGTAATCAAATTCAGTGATTCACAGTGACAGTGAGTACATTTTAAAAAAAACATAGAGAAAGATAATATTAATTTCAATAATTATAATAATACAAATATTATTAAATATTTTAAGTCTGGTCTGCCTAAATTAATTAAAATGCAATTTACTTTTACAAAAAAGTTATTATAATTAAATATAATTAGTACCGGTAATAAAAATGTCACAAATAAATTAAATATAACATGCATGAAAATTAAAAACTTACATTTTAAATAGCCTGCCTACTAAACTAAAACTAATATTATTATTATATACTAATATACTTATTTATACTTTGTTGTATCCATGCGTTATGTCATAATCATTTCATTTTGCTATGGCCTAGCCCATAAGCCATAATTCAATTTATTGATACCATAATTTAATTAATCACATTCTCATTCATTTATTTCATATCATAGTGATTAGTGAGTGGAGTACAAGTACAATTCAATGACAATAAATACATTAAATGAGTCATTTAAAATGACAGATATTACAGATTAATTAATATTGATAAATATTGCCAATATTGAATATTGGAATAAATATATGAAACTGATACGGGTACCGTATATCCATTTATAAAATTTATTTATCGTAACTTTGTTGTGATTTACTCAGTTAAAAAGTTAACTTTAGCTTTATTTTAAATTTAGTCGTCTTCACTTAGTTTGTTAACTTAAACTCAAGTTAACTCAATTAATTAACTCATTAACTTGATTAACTGAAATGTCTGAAGCCTGAAGCTGTATCAGTCAGATTTTAGGTCTGGTCTTCCTAAGCCTAAATTAATTAAATTATTGCTATCACTATGGACTTTAAAAAAAAAGGAATACTAAATATTAACGAATAAATATGCATAGACTTACATTTTAAATAGTCTACTAATATTATTGTTATAAACTTCCTTCTACGATGTTTTTGTAAAAAAATCTTAACACCACGGTTAGTGTCTCAATCAGCTGACCATAGAAGAGTTATCATTCTTGGATTTATAAATAGATGTAAACATCTAGTAAAAAAACTGGATCTATTTCTCCAAAATATAGCGAAACTTCATAACATGTAACACGGGCTATTGTCGACAATCTGAAGCGCTACTATACAATTTCTTTAATCCCCATAATATTGGCTACTTGGCTTTATACAATTTGTAGAAAAAGGCTTTTTAAAGAAAAGTAATCTTTTGTTTAGCTCCTGCCCTGGGTCCCTTTTAACGACGCCGCATATTATTATAGCATAGGCCTGCCTGTAAAAAAATGAATCATTATTAAATAATGTAACCAGTCTGCTTCATTCATGCTAATTTAAATAAAATAAATAATAAGTATTTTTGAAAATAAAATGCAGATTTAGTCGATATTTTAATATCACCATTCTTTTGGGGAATGAAGGTAGATTTTAAAAAGCAATTTGCCCCTCCCCCCCCCAAACCACACTCATTCAATATTTTAAAATATTTTTTATAATACATTATATATTAAATATTATTAACATTGATGATTGAGTTGAGGCGACGTGATGATGTTAACATAAGAAATAAACTATAACATCATTGCAAGTATGATTCGCAAAACTTTTAATGTTTGCAAAGATTTGATGGTGCAGGGTCGGCTCAAGGCGGGTACGATGTGTGATCATCAAGGCGGAAACATTTGTTAAAATAAAATACAAAATATTGTCTGAACTCTTCCCATAATTTTCCAGAGGGTGACAATTACCTATTTTCACCCAACCTAAAAATGTCTAGCGCCGGCCCTGGGATGGTGTGTGTGTGTGTTTGAGTTTAATGTGTGTATGTGTAACGCGTTTGAGATGGTGTGTGTAGCAGTGTAGCCTATGTGTGTGTGAGAGTGTGAGTGTGAGATCGAGAGAGAGAGAGAGAGAGAGAGAGAGAGAGAGAGAGAGAGAGAGAGAGAGAGAGAGAGTGTGTTTCACACTCAGACTACTGTGAGTGATGCTGATAAGTTTAGTTTTCAAGGAGTTTGAACCCATCGTCTGAGATGACGTTGTAGTGTGTGTGTGTGTGTGTGATGTGTGTGTGTGTGTAGCGCGTGTGAGGGGGTGTGTGTGGGTGTGGGGTGTGTGTGTGTGTGAGAGTGAGTGTGAGAGAGAGAGAGAGAGAGAGAGAGAGAGAGAGAGAGAGAGAGAGAGAGAGAGAGAGAGAGTCTGTTTCCCACTCAGCCTACTGTGAGTGATGCTGATAAGTTTAGTTTTCAAGGAGTTTGAACCCATCGTCTGAGATGACGTTGTCCTGGATGACTGGACAGTCTGGCGTCATGGGCTTTGTCAATCATTTTCTTAAAATAGTTAATGTTTCTTTTTTAATTAAAAAAAATAAATAAACTAATGTAAGGTTGTTTGAAGTAACTTTGGAAGGAATGAAAGCTTATTTTTTAAGATAAGTTGACTATTCTTCTTTTTTAAAAAAAAATAATTTATAAAGGACAATGGCAAGTTATAGAAATAATCGGAGCTATTAATGATTATAATATGATCGTTTATTTTGAAATAAAACTTAAGTGTCTTATTTCTTCCCTAAAATATCACATTAAAATTGTAATCATTAAAAAAAAAAAACACCCTGGTATCGTATGACAAATCAACGATCGGATGAACTATCCTACAACATTGGTCTGTCATAGATTTACACAGCGTGAATGCCGCACGACCCAGCCCGCGCTTCTGTCTGTTAGGCCCGTACAACACTGTGTTAGCAGAACACACGGCGCGGGCCAGTCATCGCCATGTTGGATCAGGCATAGAGTGTAGCAAGTGTGTGTCTGATCTGATGTTGGACTGCTGACCCAATTTCACTGCTCTCAGCCTGTCACGGTATGTGTAGTGTACAACGTTTGTTTGTTGCTTTGCATCCTGGTGTAAAAAAGAAGACGTTATTATAATTATGTTGTGAGAGTATGGCATTCTTTATGTTGACATTATTATTTGACTAAACCGCTGTTTTGTGCCCATTTTTTAGTCCCTCTTTTGGCTTTCCTCTGTGGCTACTAAACTCCAAATTGGATAGGCCTAGGCCCTACCCACATATTTATTCCCTGTCAACATTGACAGTTTGCTGGGGTTGTCACTGTTACCTCAACGGAGTCGACGTTGTTGCCTCGTGACTTGCATCTGAAGAAAAGCAGATGAGTATTAGGCTACCTACTACTGCAGGTATTAAAATGACAGACGACATCATAATCTTTGTTTTCCTGAATGTTTTTTGAACTCACTCTTGAGTAAGATATTTTTTTTTACATCATTGACTTCGCAGCCCAATAAAAACAGAACGATACTTTTGTTTTGGTATCTGTTGATGATTTATTCAAAGAGTGCCTTTAGTTGGGTTGGTGTTTTATGATTAATTTACTAGTGAGCCCATTTGGTTTTAAGATGTACTGTGTAGCAGTTGCTACACTATTATGTGGTTTGTATAGTTGACTTTTTTGGGGTATGAGAGGGCGAGATGACAGTGTTCGTTATGGTTTTGTAGTTGGTTGGCAGAGAGAGAGAGAGAGAGAGAGAGAAAGAGGAAGAAATCACGTCGAGTAGTTGCGATTATTAAGAACACTATGAAATGCTAGGGATTTTAAACAGGTCCGGGTATGTTGAGAAAATACCCGGTGGGCGGTTGGCCAAAGTGTTACCACCCAAAATAGTGAACTCCTCATTTTCTATAATATATGCCAACCTTTAAACAATAGGCCTACAGAAGTCCTAAACCATACCCCTGGCTCTTTATTGATTAATATATATATATATAACAGTCGCCCCCCCCCCCGACTCAAAAAAATAAAAATAAATTAAATTAAACCATTTACTTGAGTCAAGCGTCACGCTTGACGCACGATGCGTGACTGCCTTTAAAAAAACAACAAAACAACTCAGTACTATTGATATAAAGCATGTGGAGTTGGGGGGAAGGTGGTTTGAAGAGCAAGCAGGGCACACCAGAAGCAAAATATATTTAAGTGTCTATTAAAATCTTTAAGCGCCACTTCCCCTCTTCATTTCAAAATATACCCCCCCCCCCTTTCCAAACGATAAAAATGCAAAGATACCTTTTTGTGGGGGGGGGGTCGTTCCCCCCCCTCCGACACCCCCTTTTTCACCCACNTGACTTAGAGACAGTGGCGTAGCGAGGGTGTTTGGCGCCCGGGGACAAGATCCATTTTAGCGCCCCTTTTTCTTTTTTTCAACTCTCAAACCCATTATTTTCATCAATAAAATAATATCAAAGCACATTTTGGCGCCCCTAACTAGCTGGCGCCCGGGGACATCTGCCCCCCTGCCCTCACCACGCTACGCCTCTGCTTAGAGCTAATGGAGGGCTCATCATCGGGTTAATTTTATTTATGTAAGCGCTTCGAGGTAATCCTACATTATAGTATTGCATCCCTCTTGATGAACCTGTATCCGCCTATAGAGTACATTATAACAACATGAAAAAAAGAGAGATCCATGTAAAAGTGTACCCAGTGGCGTAGCTAAGGTTAGTGTCGCCTGGGGCGGGCCTACATTTTTTCCACCCCCTTCAATCACCCCCTTTCTACGCCACTGAGTGTATCCAATCGCCCTGCACCGCCTGTAGGCTACTCATTTGCTACTGACAAACAAGAGATGACGCTGTCCTGGATGACTGGCGTCATGAGTTTTGTCAATCATTTTTTTTATATTAGTTAATGTTTCTTTTTAATTTGTAAAAATAAACATGTCAGGCTGTTGGAAGCAGTTCTGGAAGGAATGAATGCTAATGTTTAAGATAAGTTGACTAATTTTTAAGATAAGTTGACTAATTTGTAAGATAAGTTGACTAATTTTTGAGATAAGTGGACTATTCAGCTGGTTTATGAAACGTGTGTGTGTGTGTTTTCTTCACTAACTTTAACAGTAATCTCCAATGCTATTTAATTTTAACGTATCTCACTGACATGATTTTTATTATATTTTTACATTAACTTACATTGGGTTAAAATTTCAAAGCAACTGTAATTTCACAGCCCGGAGCTCCGAACTTAAATCCCATTTCTATAACCGAATTCAAATTGTTAAACAGAGCAATTTTAGGGGTACGACTGAATTTTTGTTAAACAGTAGTTTCCCCATGGAAAATTCCAAAATAAATTTCTTATTGTTTCTAAACACGTTCCAGTAAGTTGGATACGACCAATTAAAACAGATCCAGTGGTATACTTATTTTAAAAAAAAATTAGTACACTTTCAAGCTGAATAATCTCTTTTAATTCAATTTATCGTCGTCCAATCCATGTTTCATAACTCCAAACGATGATTTCGACCAATGATATGAGAGCGGAACCAATTTACTCTCACTGCTCTGCACGAAAATAACGTTCGATTCCCAAGTTTTCGAGCCTTTACGTATTAAGGGCTGCGAAACACATACAAAAAATTATTATACAATTATTTTTTATCCCTATGGTAGAAAGACTCATAGCTATTGTTAATATCCGAACTTAGTTGTTGTAAGATACCATATTTAATGTAGCCAAGCGAAAAGTAAATTTGTAAAGACTGTCGATTACAAGCTTGTAATAACGCAAAGGTCGTGCGTTTTGAACGATTAAGTGCATATGCAAATTTGAGGCGTCTGTCAATATGCGGCCTGGGCAGACCTAAGTCTCCAACAACTGTCATATGAGGAGTATATTGCTAGAATTTAGTGACAGTAATCTTTTCATGGCCATAATAATTTTCCACTAATGGGCTGTTAGGAGATTGTGGACAATTAGAATTAATACATCTCTTAAATGTAAATTCCAGGGAGATAATATTATTTTATGCCGGCGTGAAAAGTCTCTCTCTCCCCGAACACACACGGTGCGGCTTGTATGTTACCCAGTGGCGTACCCAGACTAAATGCGGCGGCGAACTCCAAATAATTACCAAATTCCCCCCCCCCCCCACTCCTACACATCTATTATCTAAAATTTATAATAAATATATAAGAAAAGTGCCGTCCGAAACGGTCATCCCTCTAGGTATTCCAGTAGTGANATATATATATATATATATATATATATATATATATATATATATATATATATATATATATATATATATATATATATATATATATATATAGCTTCCCAGGTTTCAATTGTATAAAAGGATATTTATCCTACAGTTTAAAAGTTTATTTGACATCACTAGTAAGATGGGTGGCGGTGGGGAGGGAAGTATGCAGAGCATTCATGGATGTATTACGTCCCGCCTTCATGGATGTATTACTTCCTGCCTTTATATTTTCTCCCACCACCGTCCCTTCCATTCCCAATACTTTCTCCCATTGCCTATACTTCTTACTACAGTCTTATTTTTGCCACGCTCTGCGTAAACCCGGTTCTTGTAAATGAAAGTTTGCTCATACCCTCGTGGTGAAGTTGACGACATCTGGAGTCTGGTGTGTATCGGGTGCCTCTCTGGTTGGCATGTAAGCAGTAATAACAATCGGTTTAAAGAGGCTAGGTTGTTACGCTGCTGCAGCGGCTTAATGTTGAGGGGAAACACTTGTGTGTGCAACATAAGGCATTGTGTGCCGAACATTAAGACTTATGTGGTGAAAGTAAAATATGTGTGTTGACGTAAATACGTGTGCGTTCTTTCAGATGCCAAAGGGCAACAGAGAAGTTTACAGCCTGCTGATCCAAGAAGTCCAAAGCCGCGAATGTCTCTACGTCCCCAGCCACCCACACTATCACGACAGACATCGACTGGACGCCGAGTGGGCTGAGATTGGTCAAATCCTTGGTGTCTCAGGTAAACTGCACGCCATCTGTTAAATAAACCCACCCTTGTCGTGCTATTGCTTCTTATTTAGATTGTAAGTTGAGGACTTTTTAAGCTGCATTTTGAGCAGCTTGACATTTAAAAAAAAAAAATTGTAATGCTTTTTCTTTGAACTTGATCGTAAAATCTTTGTATCTCGTCTTCAAATGACCGAACATGTCGATCAAATCTTAATGGTTTCTATCATTCGGCCAGGTCCCAGCGCGAAGAAAACGTGGCAGAACCTTCGCAGCTCCTACAGCAGATGCCTCGCCTCCGTGAAGACCAACAGCTCTGGGGTCATCCAGAAATCGACGTGGTACCTCAAGGAGCAGATGGACTTCCTTCGGGAGTACATGACGTACGCCCCGGCCTACGAGCCCGCCGATGACTTCAGCTCATCGGGTTCACACATACATTTCGGCCCGGACGACCTGATCCAGTCGTCCGACGAGCTGGTGGACAGTTACATCAAGAAGGAGGAAAGGGAGCACGAGGATTCGACCAACGGCTCGGCGGCGTCCTCCTCGTTTCTCTCCGCCATCAATCAGATCATCCCGGTCCCGAAAAAACCGAAAATTTCATCTTCCACGTCCGTCCCGGTCACCGACGCCATCTTGAAGTTTATCGCGTCAGACGTGGACGACGACTTGCAGTTTTTCAAAGGGATTTTGCCGACCGTGAAACAACTGAACTCGACGAACAACAGAAGATTTAAACACGCCATTTCAAACTATTTGTTCCAGATGTTGGAGGCTCAAGAAAACCCGGAAGAGCCGGCGCCGAAAGTGTTGCAAATAGCTTCAGGCTGATATTTTCTAGACTTAAAAAAAATATTATGTTTATGTTTTATTTATTTTGTTTGTAAAAAAAACACAAAAACCCCCATTATTTTAAACAATTTGTAGCGTAATATTTAATCGAGCAATTCAATTTTATTCAAATTTAAAATCGAGTGCAAATTTAATCACTCTTTGCCTGGTGGTATCTAGAGAGAGAAGAGACTATTTTGGGGGGGGGGGGGCGTAGGTTGGGGAATGGTAGAGTCCTTCAGGACGGACAATCTCACCTCGCTAGTATATTATAAAGTGTAATTAATAGTTATAGGCACACACAAAAATAAATAAAAATAAATTATGATGAAGAAATAATAAAAATGTATTATAAAAAATTGGATTAAAAAAAAATATATGGATCTATACGGATATTCAATATTATTTTTAATATAATAATTTTTTTTTTTTTTCAATCGTCTCCGGGGGTTCAGCAGATGTGTCATACGTCATACGACTGCAATAAATGTAGATCTTTTATCTTAATATATCAGTCTCATTTTTTCCCTCTTTAGTGTTTCCCCCAGTTCAAAGAGGCTACGAATAGTTCTCGCTAATAAAACAAAGAAATAAGCATTCCAAACACCATAATATGAAAACTATACAAAATAAATTATACAATCGGCAATCGAAGGCAGCACCATATTAATCAACGCTATACAAGACTCGTCTAGCCATGGTGAGAAGAAGTCACAGTGCCTCGACCCGTCTTAACGATTTCAGGAAAATTAAAACCGCTGTGCTACATTGTATTTGATATTGGTAATCGTGACTTCCTGATCTTGTCCACCCGAGTCTGGATTTTCGGTGCACGAAACAACCATGTGCTTGTTTGTGTGTGTGTAGGGGTGGGGGTGGGTTGCCGGTTTCTCTTTGGCACCTCCATTGGTATTGCTATCATTGTTACTCATGTATAATTCAATAAATTCAAGATTTGTCAATGGATGCCCGTCTAAGAAAATCAGGAATGAAGAGGAATTCGGTTACACTTGAATACTCGAGTCTGACTGCATGTTAAATTAATGAGATAGCCAGTACAAAATAGGATAAATAAAAAAAATTAGATGGAAAAAAATATAATAAAATATGTTATACAAGCTATAACCTTTTGGCCTCCTTACTGTGTCTTTTACTTTTGTTTTATCGTACGGTACATAGAAAATTAAAAAGAACAAACATGGGGGACATGTTATAACAGTACTCAGGTACAGTACAGGTAGAATCCTTTTCCGTGCACATTTGTGAGGAAACCTCTAGTGAGAGAGTGGTGTTGCGAGTAAACATTGATGATAGTGATAGGCTTTCGTATAACTAACTCCCTATTCTGAACAAACGTATTTTTTTTTTTTAGCGTTTTATATTTTAAAACGAGAAATCCAAATGATCACCGAATAAGCCATTATTGTCCCTACCTAACACATATATTCCGATGAGGGTCTGAGATTACTCTCTTATAACCCCGGCTAGTACAATGGCCACCAGCTCCATCTGCTGAGCTGAGCCATACAACATTTTTCTCACGTAGGGCTCTCCAACCGCCCTGGCTTCCCCCTGGACATCTAGTGAGGGACATTCGGTCAACAGGTGCGCTAGTGTCTCCGGGACCAGTCTGCAATGCCGGCAGGTAGGGTCCCTGTTGTGATCTACCCTCCAGAAGTATGTGCGAATGGGGCAATGCTCTGTGCGCATCTGCGTCACCAGACTCTACTGTCTACGACCTAACCCCCACCAAGGGTTTTGTCTGCTAGGAGTGGGCGAATTTGAAAAGACGCCTCTTGCGGTCGTGTAGTCTGCCCATTGCCTGTACCACTTCGTCCTGAAGTGGTCTGCCAGCCAGTTCTTTATTCCCAAATAAGTTATTCTGGCTGAGGCTGTGCAGCCCCGGTTCTCACCAGAGTGTCCGCTTACTCGTTGCCACTGACGTTGACGTGCCCAGGGATCCATTGCACTGGCACCTTGCCTCCCAGTTCACCGATCTTGCACACGTCATCAATGATGGCGTCAACTAGGGGAGTGTTACCTGTTCTCTTTCACAAGATCTCGAGAGCATATCTAGAGTCACATCGAACCCCGCAGCACGGTCCCCTTACTTGTTTGATATACACTTTCTAGGGCCCTGTGAATAGCCTCAAGCTCCGCATCAAAGTTTGATGCGGCAGTCCCACAGGGCCCGGAGAGTTCCTGATTTGGTGCCCCCCTGCTGGTTACAGTGAAGTAACAGTAGGAGCGCACCGTGCCCAGCAGTTCTTTCTCTCAAATTGGCAGAGCCGTTCCTGAAACCTTCACTGGTATGTTTGAAAGCAAGGCCATGGTCTCAAGGGTAGCCGTTTTCTGGACATGTTCAGGGCTGCGCTTCGTCACTGCTGGATCAGTGAAGACCACATTTATAATGGGACGTGAGGTTTCCACATACGGCGCATTGGCTGGGATTAGGGTCAGACGTTCTCTTTTGTGGGGTAGGTCGACTGTCCTCTCAAGCTCCACCACTTGATCACATACGGCGCATTGGCTGGGATTAGGGTCAGACGTTCTCTTTTGTGGGGTAGGTCGACTGTCCTCTCAAGCTCCACCACTTGATGCATAAATGAGGATCTCTTTAGATGCCTTCCCGCTAACCAGTTGCTTTGCATTTGGAACGACGGTTCATTTTCGTTCTGTCGTCGGTAGCTCTCTGCGGTACTTAAAATTACTTTTCCCCTCCTTAGATCTAGTGGTTCTCCATTAGCAAAGACTTCTACAGCAGCTGTGGGTGTGGTTCTGAATGCGCCACAGATGATTCTCAAAGCCTGATTCTGGATTCGGCTAAACGTTTCCAATGCGGTCTTGCTTGCAAATGATTGGACCGGCATGCTGTAGTACATTACCGACGTCACACTGCCTATAAGTAGAGGTCTAAGCGTACTTTCTCCCGCTCCCAAACTTGTGCAAGTCATTCTTTTTCACCAGGTTGAGTTTAGTGGTTACCTGGGAGCACAGGTCTTGTACAAAATTGTACCTTTTGATCCACATTATTGTCACGAAGGGAGTTCATTCGTAGTTGACTTCTACGCAATTGAAATAGTTTAGATGTCTTGTGTTACAATTTTTATGCATGTAAAATGTTGTGCTTGGTTAAAATAAGTATATATTTATGAGCTGAAAATGAATACCTTGTATTTATATATACATATATAATGTATGTAGATTTATATATTTTATTATTTGCTGTCTTCAGAGGCGTACCATATACATAGGCGCCCACAGCAAGATCGAAAATTCTTCCCCTCTCAACCTGGAGAGGACTATTTAATCTATGAAGAAATAGAAAAAAAAAACAACAACAAAAAATCTATTTACAAAAAATTTAAAGATAATGTTTTTTTTATATTTTTCAATGAAGCATAGCCTCAAACAAAAATAAAATTCCCCCAAGAATACGAATACGATAACTTCATACAATATAAAGTACATTAAGCATTAAACATTGAGAATATTTTTATATACGTTTAAAAAAAAAAAAAGAAACATCCCTCCTAGGGCGATTATGTGGATTACCAAGTGCTGCATCTTCCGCCAGTTATGAACATATAGTCTACAAGTTCACCTGAGTATGTTGATTGGTGTGCAGCATTTTTTTTTAGCGTTGTTAAATAGAGATTAACTAACTTACAATGAATATCTTTTCTTTTTTTTTTTAAAGTCTAAAATACATTGTGTAGCTCGCAAATTTTTGCTTCCACCTTCAAGTGGTGGCAACATCATGTTCCGCATCTTGCCGCCGTTCCACCCGCCCACCCACCCGATACGGTCCTTGCTGTCTTGATTAAATATCTTGCCTTTATAAAATTAAAATATTTTACGACTTTGAGAAAATATAGTACTGAATTTATTATTATATAAAAAAAGCCACATAATTTGGGGATTATAATAACATACACAGTCGATATTTACCCCAAGAACAAAAACATTTTGTTGAAGCGGACTAACCAAAAAAAACAAAAAACAAACAAACTTTAGACTATAAATATTCATTAAATACGAAAAAAAAGCAAAGGAAAGAAACCCGAATCAAAATATCACAATTACACGTTCACCTTCTATAAAACTAAACAAAACAATTCCAAATACCGCCTCTATAATCCTGTTAACGGGTTTTTCCATTTAAACCCACCTCCCTGCAGACCTTTAAAAAAAATAATAACTCCGTAATTCTAGCCGACTCCCCCAACTCATCATCCCGTAACGCCCCCCCCACCCCCCAACCCTTCCAAACACACACACACACACTGTCACACACACACCCCAGGTGCCTGGACTTGGCGCACTCGTGTGCCCTAATGACAATGATCGCCAGCGTCTGTTCCTTGCCCTCAGTCCTGGCCTCGCCTGCCCGCGGCTTGTTACTCGCCAGTGGCCTCGTTATTTTTTGTTTTTCTTTTATACTCTGTATTTCTCTACTCACGTTGCGGGTAGTGCCATGTGAGCAGTTACGCACATAGCTCGAGGTCTCGCACGGCTAGTAGAATGCCAGGGGCATAGCCGAAACCTTGGATTGGGGGGTTAACTCAGTGTAGCTACATCTCACTTATGCATGGTGCCAATTTCATTATTTAGTCCTTATAATAATATAATTTGCTGAAATGATATACGGACAAAGCATTACTATCTCTCTCCCTCTCTCTCTCTCTCTCTCTCTCTCTCTCTTTAAAACAATGAGGCATTCAAGCACACAATTGTCCCCAAATGTTTTGGATACTCCGCTGCTCATCCTATCTGGAAGGAAAAAAAACAACATAACAGTAGGGTTATAGCAGCAATGCAATTCATCACATCTGCTTAATCGAGAGATAGACTTATTATAAGTGATCATCCGTGTATTGAAATAATAATCTTGATCCACCCTGCACTCTTGAGCCTTTGTCATAAATTTAGCAGACAGACAGTCTGGTTTTTTAGTGTTATTGTAACAAAAAAACAACCATGAATAGGGAATGTGATAATGGTACACGAATGATCTTGATTTCTATTACAATGTTGTTTTTTTTTAAATTACTGAATTATTAGAATGATAGGATTCATTGTTCGCTTTCAGAGTATCTCGGTAAAATTACAAATCAACATTTTTGGTATTACAACTTCGCGCTTGAAAACTGGAGCACCGCAGAGAAATAGAAGAGACTTTTGAAATAACGGTTGACACA